AAAGAAATTAGTTTATGCTCCATCCAGGGGAGAGGAAATGGAGAAAGAATACTTAGTTAAAGTTAGTTTGTTTCTTCACTCGGGGGATAATAGAAAATCGAGAATGCCAACGTACCTACCCAGCAATGACACCGGCAAATATCCAGGGGATAGGAAATCGAGAAGCAAAACAAATGATGATGATGACGAAGTGAAGTGCGAATAGCTAACAATAAAAAAATAAAATAAAATAAAAAATCGAGAAGCTAACAATAATAATAATTTAAAAAGAAAAAAAGAAGAAGAAGAATAGCTAACAATCCAATCAGATGACAGTCCAGGCAAAGGGACAAAGTCGTTTTCTCGCGTTCGAAAGTAAGTATATATGGCCATTGCTTTCCCCCCTTCTGCTTTTCCTCTCTTGTCATTACATCTGATCGGCCATAGCCATAGCTTAACAAAAGAAGAAGAAGGATAGTGGAAACAGTGGCCAAACTGCCTTTCGTACACGCTTCGAATGCTCGTCAATACAGAACAGCGCATACTCATCTCAGCACACGCGCACATTCCCCGACGCGTTTCGATCGGTTGCGCTCCGATCATCTTCAGGGAGCTAATCACACACCCTCGCCTTGCGGCCCACCAGCCAACCCTTCCTTCTGAAGAAGTAGACGAAGACGAAGAAGAAGAAGAATAGAGGAAAACAGTGGCCAACTGACTTTGGTACACGCATCGAAAGTTCTTCATTACAAAGACGCGCATACTCGTCTCAGCTCTCGCACACATTCCCCGACGCGTTTCGATCGGTTGCGCTCCGATCATCCTCAGGGGGCTAACCTCATGACCCCGAAGAGACAAGCGAGGCCAAACGCTAGTAGTTCCAAGCATCAATAGATTTCCATCACTAAACAAGAGAAGCGAGGACAAAAAAGAGCTCAGAAGAAGATAGAAGAAGAAGAAGAAGGTCATTCGATCTTACTGAGAACAAGTCGATTCTCCATGCGTCGCTTGAGTTAACGGGAGGCTTGTGCAGCATGAAGACAAAAAGGAGACCAAAGACGATAACTTCATTCCGCACACTCCTCCACCATCTCGTCAGCTGCCCAGCAACCGCTGTCTTCGACTTCCTCTTCTTGTACTTGTTTTCTTCATCCAGAAGCGGATCAGACATCGTGAAATTTTTCACTCCAAGGGGGAGAAAAAAGCGCGCATCGAGAGACTCCCAATCCAAGGAAAAACACTCTACTCTCCTTCCTCAGCAGAGGCTACCGATCGGCACACAAGCGTACAAGCCTCCAGTGAAGATGCATCCCATCCCCGTTCCCTCCCCCTCTCATCACCCTTTACTCTGAACGTCACTCCGTGTCCCGCTACTTGCTAGACCTCCAGCCCGCATGCTCCGCCGGCGATTGTTCACCCCGCACTCTGAACGTCTCCCCCTGTGCTGTTCGCTACCGGTAGCCCTCAAACCGGCATGCTCCACTGGCGCTTGCTTATCCCTTATTACTCTCAACGTCACTGCAAGTGTCGCGCGCGCTACCCAGCCTTCAAAACCGCATGCCCCACCGGCGCTTGTTTACTACCCCTGATGAATCAACGCGATGTCCGCCTTTGAGTCTCTCGCTTCAACCCTCAAATCTTTACTACCAGAGTGGGTCGAGAGCTGTCGCGATGACGTGTGAAGTCGACAGAAAAGGCATTTTCTGCCTCCACGGTAGACAAAGTATGGACAGTATGTAGCAGCTGTCTGTAAATGTCAAACTCGACGGCATTTAATGAGCTGAAGTCACCCACATACAACGGAGACGCGTGTTTCGGGCAGACGTCAAGAAGAGCATGCTGTTTGACCTTCCTTCTTCTTGTGTCTTCCTTATTGTCTTGCTCACCAACAGTGCGTTCTTGCTCACTACCGGTTATTATGACTTGTCTTGCTTCCTTGGCTTCAACCTTGTTTCGCCGTTCCAGCTCCTTTCGCAGCCGCCGGCCGAGTCACGGCTCTTCCGCAATTGGCGCGCACATTTTGGCGCCGCGTTTGTTTGGACAGCTCCCCGCCGAACGAAAAAACCGTCAAATTGACAGTCGTCGCGCTCTCGGGTGACCACGGAACCGAGGGCCTACTACAGTACAACTACAGTACAGTAGTTGCACTACCGTGGTCGCCATCTGCCAAAATCCTGAAGGAATCGGAACGGTATATCTGTCCGGATGCATTCAAAATGTTGGCGGATGGCAACGGAGTGCAATAGGCGCCAAGCGCCCGCGCTTACGTACACAACCGATGGCGCCACGACAAAAGAATCTGGTTCCGTAGATCGTTTGCCAGATGGAACAGCACGCGGACGCAAACGAGGGGCTGTGGAGTGTTTTTTAATATTCTTCTCTCAATTTGCCCTTTTTTATTGGGTTTCTTCTGTTTTGCCTTTCTTGTGCACCGTTTCTCGAGTTATGTTTCGTGTTTTACGTGGTCACACTGTGGCCGTGAGATCTTCAGATCGGATGGCAGGGAGACATGTATACTCAAAACCGGAATTAAGCCTCTACAAGTGGGACATGCCAGGGTGTCATCCATTCGCACGGGCCATGCTAATCTTCTTTATATTTGGGGACGGTTGTTGGAGTCCCATTACGTGTGCAATTTCCTTTCCCATGTCCTCTCAGGTTTTCCTGCCTCTTGGCTTTTCAGTTGTCCTCTCCGTTTCAGGACTTGACATCCTCTCGCTACCGTCGGCGTTATATTCAACTAAAAACATCATTTTTTCGCTTTTACTCATTTGTTTTCAAATAGAATGCCACTTCGAATATAACACCTGGCGTTATATTCGAATAGAACGTCCGGGCATTATATTTGAATGTTCCATGTGCAGAACGCCTTGTAGAGGTAGGATACATGGGTTTTAACGGGGGACGGGGGTATACATGGGTTTTAAAGAGGGTTGAAAGGGGTTTTGACTTCCAATGGGTATATTTTGGTTTGATGTTTTTTTTTTTTTTTTTAAGGAGTTTATAAGGAATTCTGAAGTGGCCCTCAGCCAAAAGTTGGTCAGATTGCAATTCTGGACAACATATGATTTTTATGGAACTTTTTAAATATTTGTTTTTTTTTTGGCGGGGACACCAATTTACTGAATAGAAGGTTCGGGCTTTATTAACGAATATAACACCTAGCGGGTGTTATATTCGTACACAACGCTCGAGCGTTATTTTCGGTGAAGAGGGTAGTCTATGTATATATATAGTAGGGGGGGAACGCCAACCAACCCAGATCTCTCCCCAGCCCGCAGGGTAGGTTTGCACCACAACAATCGTGCGAGAGATATTTTTCACTTAGCTTGTGCAAGATATGTCATGAGCTACACTCGGTCTTAGCCAAAAGGCCAAAAGCCGCTTGTCCATCTAGTGGTGATTTGACAAGGGGGTTGACTTTATTATGGTACCTGAACTGAGTTTCTTACTAGTGATGATTTGACAGGGGTTTTCACTTGATTACGGAACCTAAACTGAGTTTTTTAGTACCCAAATCCCTTGTTCATCCAGTGGTGATTCCACAAGGGGTTGGACTTGATTACTGTACCTAAGTTGAGTTCCTTACCCTTCTTGTTGGGTGCTATAGATAGGTTTGTTGTCACCTGCTAAGCTAATATAGGTAGTGTCGAATGGCGATAAAAGTAGGTCTTCATGGCAGTGTCTTCACTCTAATACATGACAGTATTTACCACATACATATACCTGCATCAGGTTAGTTTTTCATATGGAGCTTGCGTCATGTCTTTCATTTAGCTTATGGGGATTCTGAATCTGCTCTGGTCGCCTATCAGGCAGAGTTCTCTACTGGCTTTGGCGAACACTACTCCTTTGTTTTTTTGTGCAACTTGATCAAAACCTTAAACCACTGGTACCTGGAGATACTTGTCGACCGACCTCATCGCTTCCGGTACGCCGAACCTTGTCGAACCTGCGGCTACCAATAGTGCTAAATAAAAGATATAAAATGAGGAAAATATATATATATATATAAACGATGTTTTTCTTTTGAAAAAAATAAAAATTACCTCATTTCACGATTTTTGCCCGTAGGTGGGGAGGGAGGGAGAGAGGGAGGGAGGGAGGGAGGGAAGGAGGAAGGGAGAGGGAGGGAGAGAGAGAGAGAGCTCGTTTCATTTCACTTTTTTTGCCCACATGTGGGGAGGGAGGGAGGGAGAGAGGGAAGGAGAGAGAGAGAGAGAGAGAGAGAGAGAGAGAGAGAGAGAGAGAGAGAGAGAGCTCGTTTGGAATGCATCTTGCCCACGGAGGTGGTAAGATGCATTCAAATCTAGCAGTTCGAAGCATGGCCCACGTAAGCGCGTGAGTAAGTGTGTGTGTGTGTGTATGTGAGAGAGAGAGAGATTTGATGCGTTAGGTCTCTCTCTCTCTCTCTCTCTCTCTCTCTCTCTCTCTCTCTCTCTCTCTCTCTCTCTCTCTCTCTCTCCCTCCTGCTTGGGGGGGTCAGATTCTCAATCATAGCCTCGAATTCATCTTGCCAACTTGGCATGCAAGATTCTTTCGAATCGAGTTCCAATCTGTCCACAAGCATGCATGCGAGAGAAAGAGAGAGAGAAGCATGACGAGCTTCATGGACTATCGTGGCAAAATCTCTCTCTCTCTCTCTCTCTCTCTCTCTCTCTCTCTCTCTCTCTCTCTCTCTCTCTC